AGATTAATCTATGGTGGCCAAATAAGTCCACCCCCCCACCCCCACGTTTTGCAATTGTGATTAGTGGTGGATAAAATTGTTCCTTCCACTCGCCAGAATCAGTCACAATGTGCTAACTTGGACAAGAAAAAAAAAACTTTATACACTAATAACTTTGTTATTTTTATTATTAAGCTGCAAAAGTAAAAGAAACATGCGGCACGTCAAAAACAAAACTAACAACAGTCGACCACCCCGCACCACCACCAGCTGTGGTGTGCATTAAGTTTAGTTTTAGAGATTAATATGTTTATAGATTTTTTAATAGGTTTACAGATTAATATTTTTTTCTTTTTGTTTGTGAAACAAGGTCATTCCTCTGACCAGCTGGTTCTGGTTCGGTCATTGGACCCGATGTTACACCATATTCTGTGACCTACAGCAGTGCATGCAACACCGCCCCCTACGGTCACAATATACAGTGGTTACAGATTATGGTGTAACACTGGTTCACAACAAGCTCCTAACAGTCAGGAAGTTGATTCATTGTCTGTTTCCTTACAGCAGTTGAAACAGAAGATTCATCTTTAGTGAAATATTTTCAGACGATGCATTTCTACCTGTTTGCCAAGACTGGGTCTGGGTCACTAAACAAATTGTGAATAAAAACTGAATGCAATGATGTGGAGGTGCCAACATCTATTTTTTTATTCAGAATAGAACACAAATCACAGATCAAAAGTTTAAACTGAGAGAATGTATAATTTTAAGGGAAAAATCTGTTGTTTCCAAATTTCGTGGCGTCAACAAATCCCAAAAAAGTTGGGACAAGTCCATTTTTACCACTGTGTGGCATCCCCCCTTCTTCTTACAACACTCAACAGATGTCTGGGGACAGAGGAGACCAGTTTCTCAACTATAGAAATATGAATGCTCTCCCATTCATGTCTAATACAGGCCTCTAACTGTTCAATCGTCTTGGGCCTTCTTTGTGGCACCTTCCTCTTTATGATGCGCCAAATGTTCTCTATAGGTGAAAGATCTGAACTGCAGGCTGGACATTTCAGTACCCGGATCCTTCTCCTACGTAGCCATGATGTTGTGATTGCTGCAGAATGTGGTCTGGCATTATCATGTTGAAAAATGCAGGGTCTTCTCTGAAAGAGATGACGTCTAGATGGGAGCATATGTTGTTCTAGAACCTGAACATAGTTCTCTGCATTAATGGTGCCTTTCCAGACATGCAAGCTGCCCATGCCACAAGCACTCATGCAACCCCATACCATCAGTAATGCAGGCTTCTGAACAGAGCATTGATAACAACTTGGGCTATCCTTGTCCTCTCTGGTCCGGATGACATGTCGTCCCAGTGTTCCATAAAGAACTTCAAATCGTGACTCATCTGACCACAGAACAGTCTTCCATTTTGCCACACTCCATTTTAAATGACCCCTGGCCCAGTGCAA